GGTGTTCACGTCCTTCTTGGCTCCCGAGGCCGCGCCTGAGTCGCCCGTGGAGTGCAGCGCCGCATCCCGGGTCTTGGAAGAGCCTCGTCCTGTCCCCGGTCCTGGGGTCTGCAGACCCCACCTCTGCCCTAATCCGTCCTCTTTTCCCCATCTCCCCATTGTCCTTGGGGGGTTCAGCTGCCCAGGACAGCTACTTTGAGGACTCTACTTCCTCAAAGTAGAGTCTATGGGGAATAACCGGGACTTGTAATGTGACACGAAATCTATTTTCTTCCCTCATTTTTGTGCGCTCCTAAGTGAGCATGTTATTTTTATTCCATATGTGTGAAGTATGGGACACAGAGAGCAGGGGAGAAGAGAGGAAAAGTTATAGAGGAAGAATGAGGGAGACCTATGAACAGTGCCAACTAGAGGACGTGGGAGGGATTTGCAAGAAGACGTGTGCGTGAAAGCAGAAGGTGTAAGGTAGGAGTCCAGCCAATCATGTCAGAAAGCTGAATGTAGAGCAGTAGCTAACGTTTATTTGGCTCCTGCATGAAGGCCGGCTAAGATTCAATAGGCCTCCGCCTTGGAGGGCAACAGTGCTTACCTTTTAAAGGTTTTAGGTAGAGTAGGAGGAGGAGAGTGTTACTTTGGAGTACTAGTAACTGTTGCCATATAAGGTTCCTGCTTCATCCCATTGATACTATTCTGTTCTGTTAAGGTTTAGGCCCTACCTTGGAGCCATTGAGTTCCCCAGTTCCACCTCTTCCTTCTGACTGGGTCCCTAAGCAAGTTGGTGGTTTCAGCAGGGGTCACTGAACAGCCAAGATGGAGTGCCTTATGCTCAAAATGGAGTGGTCTATGCTTGCTCTGTTTTTAGAATTCTTCTAAACAGCGGGTCAGAAAGCTGTGCACTAGTAGGTGGAGAAAAATCCCTGAAGTAATTTTTAGAAAGCCTCGTTCTCCTGACAGATGAAGGAAAGCAACATGGGGCAACTGGCAGCAAATGGAGAGTTGCCTCAGACAGAGCGTCCTGGGAGGGTAGGAATGACTGGGAGTCCGGGCAGCCATAGCAGCCTGGTTCTGGGACCCCAGGAGGGGTACCTGGCGACAAGGACAGCAAAAAAGGAACCAAAGCTGAATGGGAGAGAGAGGAGATGGGAGGTGACAAAGAAGAGAAAATAATGAAAGGAGATGGGGAGCAGAGTTGGGGAAGAAAGAGGGAGAGACAGATGGGACAGTCAAAATATTAGGGACAAAGAGATGGAAAAGGTGATACTCATTTCCAGAATGGAGCAGAACAGGTCAAAGAAGGAGGGATGTAGGGGACAAAGACCAGGAGAGAGGACAAGAGAATGAGGATCTGAAGCCCAGGAGGGACACACAGAGGAGAAGAGAAAAGCAAGAGCACGGGGTAGAAGATGAGGATGAGAGGTTTGTAGAGAATGAGGGAGGGAAACACAAGGAAATGAGCCCAGATCAGTCTTGAAGTGATTGTGTGTGATAATTAAGATGTGACACAGTGTTTCCCCTATTTGTCATCTAATAAGTTTAGCATTTGCTGCAAATATATAAATGAAATTGAGAATTGCACAACTCCTATCGGTAAGTGTGGTGCATGAACTAATTCCTGGCCTCACAGGCTAGCCTCCACTTGTAGCCTGGTTTGAGCCAGAGGGCGGGAGTTGGTCCATTCAATTGTGGGTCATCCTCTTACCTTTTCCTGAGATGGGGTAAGGAGCAGGGAAGTGGATGAGTCCTAACTTTCACAGTCCTTTTGTCAGAGAGCACTCGACACAGACTATGTCGTGTCTGGTCACTAACGTGTGGGGTACCCCTTATCAGCCTGCAGTTCTCCATCAGACATCCATAAGGTAACTTGGCTATCACACTGTCTACCTAGAAGTGGGATCAGATCACCTGTGTACTCCTCATCACCACAAGGCTGCCCCACCTATGTCTGTACTGTCAAAATTGAATTTGATTATGGGGCACCCAGCTGGGAGTCCCCTAGAGAAGAGGTTAGTGTGGGAAATCACACACACATTAGTGACTAGAGAGAAAATAATCTGTGTTCAATTTGAGTAGCTTTTTATAGTGACAGGGGATGGTTTATCCCTGCTCCTATGTGTTGCTGGCCCTGAGATTGTGCACCACTGACATTCCCCCTCAGAGTCTCAGTGTTGCCTGGCATCCTTCCTGCACAGCTTCATCAATTTTTAGTTTTATTTTATTTTCAAACTTTTATTTATTTATTTTTTGAGTCAGAGTCTCTGTCAGCCTGGGTAAAGTGCCCTGAAGTTATCATAGCTTACAGCAATTTCAAACTCTTGGGCTCAGTAGGTGGGACTGGGGATCCACCACAACATTTGGCTAGTATTTATAGTTTCAGTAGAGGTCGTATGTCACTATTGCTCAGGCTAGTCTGGAATTCCAGAGCTCAAGGGATCCTGGCTCCACCTCCCAGTGCCAGGCTTGCAGGCGTGAGACACCGTGCCCAGCCCAGGATTTCCTCCTTGAATCTTTAGTCACCTCTGTCCACTCCCTGCTTTTCCTTATCATCTCTTCTTGTGGTGTAAACCACTCTGATGTGTCTCCATTTGCCCTGTAGCCCTCTACTCTGAAGTGTGGAATTTGTCCAGTTGTGTCCTTACCTCTCTGCGGTGCCAACTAAGAGGCATCTCCACTTTCACGTGTACAAAGGGGACTTTCTCTGCTGTGAGAAACATGTTCTCCTGTGGTCCTCACATCTCAGAGCAGGATGACCCTGCTCCCTTGGGTTCATGGAACTTCTTGTCATATATTTAACATGGTAACTGCCACGTGAGTTGTACTTTGCTAGTTTTGAAACTGGGACATAGAGAACCATGTATCACTCACATGTCTCTTGAGCTGTCTTGACATAAGGAAACACCATGGCCCCAAAGCAAAATTTTCTCATACTGTGCACTCACTCTCTTATGATTGTATATAAGATGACATGTCATTTTCTTTTTTTGAGGCAGAGTTTTCCTCGTTTGCCCAGGGTAGAGTGTAGTGGCATCATCAAATCATCATACCTCACAGAAAATTCACACTCATGGGTGCAATTTGCTCTTTTGCTTCATCCTCCTGAGTTCTTGGGACACTAGGTACCTCCCACTACACCTGGCTAGTTTTTCTATTTTTAGTACAGATGTGCTCTCATTCTCCCTCAGGTTGGTCTCAAACTCCTGCGCTCAAGCAAGTGCCTTAGCTTCTCCGAGTCCTAGGATTGTAGGCATGAGCCACCTTACCTGGGTAAGACTTTATATCTTAACACGTTGTTGACTGATAATTTTACCCAGAAGTAATACCATGTCCCTGGTTATTTTTCTGGTGACAAAATCAAGAAACTTTTATAATATCCTATGGTACCCCGTGTTTTAAAAATTGTAGCTAATGCAAGTGCAAACACGAGTTAACTTGTGATCAGTCAACAATGTGTTTGGTGCATTCTTGTATTAAAGCAAAAAAAAGTATATGTTTACTTAAAAAAGCTGGGCAATTAGGTTTTGAAACTTTGCTGGAGACTTAGGAGAAATAAGTGTGCAGGCCAGGGCCCTCCCTGCTCGGCTCCCCTAGGACCTATCTGGCCACATCTTGTGTCCTGCTCACTGGCTCTGCTCCAGCCACACAGGCCTTTCTTTTCCCTAGGTTGCTCCTGCCTCAGGAGCCTCAGGAGCGACAATGGATGTCGCTCATTCTAGAAGTCTCCTCCCCTGAGCTACTGGTAACGTGCACCCTTCCTTCCTTATATCTTTGTGCTAGTATCACCTTTTCACAGAGGACTTCTGTCCCTCTATTCAGTATTTCAGCCACCTCTTCAAACACAGAACAGCACATATTGGTCCATCTGACTTTTTCTTTAGAGTCTCTTGCATTTCCCTGTCCTGATACTGGCAACAAGTATCCAAGGAGAGAGCAGAGTGAGAAGGAGGGAGGGGTCCTGGCTTTGCCCCTCTGAGTGGAGTTCAAGACTGGTCTTACATTAGAGTGTTGAGGCTTTTCTCATGCACTTCTCTTGTGTCCCCTGGCTATTTACATAGTCCAGTTAGGAACCACCTTCGCTAATGGTTCCAGTTACCAGGTGTGTCCAGTCCATGTCCAACACTAAGTACAAAGGGTCTCTGTCCTCCATGGCTGAGGACTGAGCTGAGCCTTGATTACAGAGCAGTAAGGGCCTGTGCTCTGCCTAGGGTTTGGGGCTGTGCCCTGGAGGGGAGCTTCGTGCAGCCCAGCTCCCCACTCCTATACCATGAGTGGGGAAATCACCAGCACAGGAGTGAGGTCTGATGAATGGGTCAGAGACTCACTAGTTCATCATCCTGTAGAAGTGTATTTCCTCTGCATCCCCCTGGTGTTATGGATGGAGAAAACCATCTTCTTAAGTGGGAAGTCTTCTTCTCCATGGGGTCCTATCACTAACGGCAGTGTGTTGATTCTCCATTGAACACCATGCTTTTTTTTATAATCAGGATTGACTTTTTTTTTGACCAGAGCCAGGTTTAAACTCACTACCTCCGGTATATGGGGCCAGCACCACACTCCTTGAGCCACAGGTGCCACCCCAGGATTGACTTTTAAACATTCGTGTTGGATAAGGAAGAAACCCAGATCAGGAGGAAGAAGAAAGAAGAGGAGTCAGTAATGGCTATTGCTCAGGTACTGTGATACTCTCAGTGGATTATTTTGTGTCTTTCTCTTTTCTCAGAACTGGGTATTGGACTTGCTGATCTTCTCTGACTCTGAGCCATGCTGAGTGACATGTTTGCTCCCACTCCCCTATACCTTCCTTCAGTTCTTCTCATATCTACTTTACTTCTAACTTTCTGAGACCCAGTGACATGAAGAGGCTCCATTGGACACAGTCCTGGGAAGGGTTTCACTCCCAGCCCTAGGGTAAAAAGGGGAGTGGCCCTGTGGTAGCAGTGCTATTGGGCAGGAGGGACTGTTCAGGGGCCACATCTGGGTGCACTGCCAAGCTGTCTGTAGTCATGGGGTAACATGGTACATTCTGGAAAAGGCATCCTCAGGGTCATCTTTTCTGCCTGATTTTCTACTATGTTTTGAGTTATAGGACTGCATCACCATGTTTCTCATGCCCAATTCTTTATGACCAAGAAAGGTATGGACAGATGGGCATCAGTGACACAGAGTGATTTATTCCATCATCTCTTTTAAACTATGGAGTCAAGATAAATGTCTAGGTGTAGTAGATTGGTTCAGTCAGTCTCAATGTTTCTATCCCACAGGGACTTATTTTTTTCCCTGTCACAGACAGGATCTCTGTTACCCAAACAAGAGTGCAGTGGCCTGATCACACTCGCTGTACCTTCCAATTCCTGTGCTCAAGTCATCCTCCCATTCCAGCCTCCCACATGGCTGAGAGTTCAGGTGCACATCCCTGCACCTGGCTGCTTTTTCCTGTGTACACAGAGGGTGTTTCCCGATGTTGCCCAAGGTGGAGTTAAACTTCTGGGTTCAAATAATCCTCCCACATCAACCCCTCAATGTAGTTGGGTTTACTGACATGAGGTACATGCCTGGCTGGAGAAAATTCTTCAGTGATTATTTCATCGTATATTCTATTATGCAGCTTTCAGGTCATATGTTTACAGCTAATGTAAGTGGTAATATGTTTGTGGAATCTAGCATACCAGTTTTTTTTCATGCTTTTAAAAATTATGTCTCTGGCCATGCATGGTGGCTCACTCCTGTAATCCTACCACTTTGGGAGGCCATGGAGGGTGGATTACTTGAGCTCAAGAGTTCAAGATCAGCCTGAGCAAAAGCCAGACCCTATCCCTACTAAAAATAGAAAAACTGAGGGAAGAAGATCACTTGAGCCCAAGAGTTGGAGGTCACTATGAGCTGTGATGCCACGGTATTCTACTCAGGGCAACTGGTTGAGACTCTGTCTAAAAACAATAAAATTAAATAACAAAAACTATGTCTCTGTTCCATCAAATTACATACTACATAAGCTTCAATAGTATCCACTGATACCCAATTTAAGATCACATGTTGGCAGATCATATATGTCCTAATATATTCATATCATTTGAAAAGCTGCCTATTTTCTTCTTCTTTTCAAAATTATTTTACTGTTCCTTCAACTTACATAGCACATATGGTTCATATGCACAGATCTTGTGTTCATGGAGTGTATCCTCTGTGGATAAGGGGGTTCTAGTCTATTCTGTATCCACTATTGAAAACTAAGGCATGGTGTCGTGCATCTGTGAGGGCTGAGATTAGCCTGAGATCCACATAGGGGTGAGGGGGCCATGCTCTGCCTGGATTTTCATCTGTTCCCTGAGGGGAGTTCAGTCCAGCCCAGCTCTTCCTGCTAAAGTGTGGGAGTGGGCTTCACTGGAAGGGGAGCAGGTTCTGAAAGAGTAGTGAGAGACTCTTCCTATGGGACTTATCCTTGAAACCCCCAGCCTCAGTGGGCAGCAGAGGACTGTTTTTGCAAAGAGAACCCTGTTATTTCAGGTATCTGTGTGTACATGTGTGAGTGTGCAAGTGTGTTGTGTGTGAACATGCGATGAGTCATCGAAGGCATATCATCGTGTTATGTAAATTTTATGTTTTGTTTTGTTTTTTTTTTTGAGACAGAGCCTCAAGCTGTCTCCCTGGGTAGAGTATCATGGCATCACTGCTCATAGCAACCTCCATCTCCTGGGCTTAAGCGATTCTCTTGCCTCAGCCTCCCAAGTAGCCGGGACCACAGGTGCCCGCCGCAATGCCCGACTATTTTTTGGTTGCAGCCATCGTTGTTTGGCGGGCCCAGGTTGGATTCGAACCCACCAGCTCAGGTGTATGTGGCTGGCACCTTAGCCACTTGAGCCACAGGCACTGAGCCAATTTTATGTTTTTTGACCATTGGAATTTTCTCTTGAATGTTTCCATGGACTTTCAGTTATTTTACATATTCATGGTTTTTGTTTTTTTTTAAGGAGGTTCAACTTTTTTTCTTTCTGAGAGTCTCACTATGTCACCCTCAGTAGGGTGCTATGGCATCGCAGCTCACAGCAACCTCAAACTCTTGGGCTTAAGCGATTCTCTTGCCTCAGCCTCCCACGTAACCTCAGCCTCCCACGTAACCTCAGCCTCCTGCCACAATACCCAGCTGTTTTTTTATTTGTTGTAGTTGTCGTTGTTTGGCAGGCCCGGGCCAGATTTGACCCCACCAGCTCCCGTGTATGTTGCCGGCACCCTAACCACTGAGCATAGGAGCCAAGGGAGGTAGTCCAATTTTATTGACTGTTTATTAAGCTGTTATAGACAGAATTCAAATAAGATTCATTGCATATGATTTTCTTTTCTTTTTCTTTCTTTCTTTCTTTTTTTTTTTTTGAAACAGAGTCTTACTTTGACACCACCCCAGTAGAGTGCCCTGACATCACAGTTCTCAGCAACCTCTAACTCTTGGGCTCAACTCATTCTCTTGCCTCGACCTCCAGAGTACCTGGGACCATAGGTGCCCATCACAACGCCCACCTAATTTTAGAGATGAGTTCTCCCTCTAGCTCAGGCTGGTCTCGAAACATGAACTCAGGCCATCCACCCTTCTCAGCCTGCTGAAATTACAGGTGTGAGTCATCCCACCTGGCACTGTATAGTCAAGATTCTAAGACTAGAATTCAAAGTATTCTCTTGTATTCTGTCCTTGCTTCAGGCTCAATAGAACTACTGATCAAAGCTTGGTAAAAATAAGCTGGTTGGACGACCGTGGATAATTTTCTCTACTAAATCCAACAGGCCACAGGAATTTTTTGGAGCTATCACTCACTCGTTTCTGCCAGTTCTCCATAGCCACCTCTGCCCTATCATAGTCTTGCTGATACTCCTCTCATAGCTTGCCCCCAAATGGCACACAACCCTCCTGCCTGCCCTCCTTAAAGCCTGCACCCCAATCTGTGGGGGTGATCTTGGCATGCAGACCAGTTTCACTCATGTACCACGTGGAATTTTCTGTATGTGCTCTTGAATAGTATTCCACAAAGCAGAGTCCAGGTGCTAGTCTTTTCATTTTATTCAGACTCATAATAATTTTATTTATGTCACTGCTTTGCCTAAAGAGTTCATAAAATTATTTTTCAGTTGTGTACGAAGAAATTTTTTTCTTCAATGTTCAGTTTTTCTTTTCATCAATTTTTTTTTCTGTATGTATGTGAAACATACTCTCACTCTTTTGCCCTAGGTAGAGTGGCATGATGTCATGGCTTACACAACCTCAAACCCCCGGGCTCAAGTTCTCCTGCATCAGCCCCTTAAGTCACTGGGACTACAGGTGCCTGCCACCATGCCCAGCTAGTCATTCTATTTTTAGTAGAAATGAGTCTCCCTTTTGTTTAAGTTGCTCTCAATCTTGTGAGCTCAAGGTATCCCGCGACCTTGGCCTCCCAGAGTGCTAGGATTACATACTTGAGGTACCACGCTGGGCCTTGATACACTTTTTCTTGCGTAGTTTTTTCTTTCTTTTCCTTTTCTTCTTTTTTTTTTTTTTTTTAGAGACAGAGTCTCACTTTTGGTATAGTGAATAGTATAGTGCTGTGGCGTCACAGCTCATAGCAACCTCTAACTCTTGGGCTTAGGTGATTCTCTTGCCTCAGCCTCCCGAGTAGCTGGGACTACAGGTGCCCACCACAATGCCCGGCTATTTTTTTGTTGCAGCTTTGCTAGGGCCGAGTTTGAACCCACGGCCATCGGTATATGGGGCCAGCACCCTGCTCACTGAGCCACAGGTGTCACCACTTATGTAGTTTTTCATAGCCTCCATTGTCACCCTGGAAGTGCTGGTCCTGGTACTGCCTCAGCTCCATGTAGGAGTTTCTGCCCTCCACCCTCACGAGCTACTCAACACAGTGCAGGGAAGTTGACAGGCACTGGGTAACCCCCTTCTGTATCATGTTAATGAGTTGACATCAATAACACTGCTAACATATAAACAGCATAGGTGTGTATATGTGCATATCATGACCTTTTATGCAGTTGCATGTTCTCACCCTTGAACATGTTTCATTTTTTCTAAATAAGGTAATTCTGTCAGTTTACTTCTGAGGCTGGTCTGCTTCTTAAGGGTTTGAACTAGTAGGTCCCATACTACCATGTTTCTCCAAAAATAAGACATTGTCTTATATTTATTTTTTCTCAAGAAGACACACTAGGGCTTATTTTCAGGGGATGTCTTGTTTTTATTATATATAATACAATAACCCACATTTATTCAAATACAGTTAGGTTATCTTCTGGAACCTGACAGGGGGAGCTGACCTTGTTGGTGGGGCTGGTGCTAGTGATGCGTGAACTCCTTTCCCCTAGCCGTTTGCATATGCGCAATAGGATGCCTGTGACAACGGTTACCACAGACGCACCTGCCCAAGTGCCAACGGCCTCCTCAAGAAAGGAGCTAAGGCAGATAAAAGGTATTCCAGTCTTCCTTACCACTCATTGCTGAAATGCAAGGTGTGGCTATGTAGATATGTTGCATAGCCATGCCCATCACTAAGTCTTATTATCCAGGTAGGGCTTATATTTAACAAATGCGTAGAAATCCTACTAGGGCTTATTATTTGGGTAGGTCCTATTTTGGGGTAAATACGGTAAAACCCAGTCACCTGGGGTCAGGTTTTACTGTTCTGTCGGGGTTTTGTTTGTTTGTTTGTTTGTTTGTTTGTTTTTTGAGACAGAGCCTCAAGCTGTCCCCCTGGGTAGAGTGCTGTTGCATCACAGCTCACAGCAACCTCCAACTCCTGGGTGCAAGTGAGTCTCCTGCCTCAACCTCCCAAGTAGCTGGGACCACAGGCGCCTGCCACAACACCCGGCTATTTTTTGTTGCAGCCATCATTGTTGTTTGGTGGGCCTGGGCTGGATTTGAACCCGCCACCTTAGGCAAAAGTAGGGTACAGCACGTAGCTTAGCCATTTGAGCCACAGGCGCTGAGCCTTTACTGTTCTTTTTAGTCTACTGACCCCAGGGAAGTTTTTTCTTACTATGTGTGAGACACGGTTGTCTCCTCAGTAAGATGGGAAGAGATCTTCCTCTCATGGGCTGTTGTTAGTATAGCAGCTAGTCTAAGTATTCAGAGACATTCTTATCACATGGGAACTATTCAGTAGCTTCGGACACAGCCGTTTCTATCATTGAACCACTTTTTAGATACTGATCTTTCTTTCTTTTTTTTTTTTTAGATTCTGATCTTTCTATGAGTCACTGTGGACATAGTGATCCTGAAGACAACAGTCATTTTCTAGTTTGGGGAGACACTGAATTTTCTAGTTTGGTGTGTCAAACAGATTTAATACCTTTATAGAGAACAGATATAAGCCTGGGTTAATGTCATACTTGTTTCTCTTGTAATATCCAAAAAAGTGAGATCCACACTAATTTAGAGAATGTCATAACTGCTCAAGGAAAAGTAGGGTACAGCACGTAGCAAGCTCAAAAGTCTATTAATATGAATCTTTCAAAATACATATTTCAGTCACATCAATTTTTTCATTGCTCTTCTGGTTTTCTGTGAAGAGGGGATTTCTTTCCATCCCTCTTTGGTGAAACATGTTTCTCATTTCAGGGACAATTGACATTCAGGGATGTGGCCATAGAGTTCTCTCAGGAGGAGTGGCAGTGCCTGGACCCTGCTCAGAGGGCTTTGTACAGGGCCGTGATGTTGGAGAACTACAGGAACCTGGTCTCCCTGGGTGAGCACATCATGGCTCTAAATCATAGACTTTTTACAAAAATGTCTAGTTCCCTATTTTGTACCCAGGACCTTTGATTCAGTACTTCCTGACAGAGAGAGCTTAATGTTTGCATAGCATAGTTTCATACACATTCAGAAGGCAGCCTTATATGGATAAATACATTTTTCTTTTTTTTTTTTTTTTTTTTGGCCAGGGCTGAGTTTGAACCCACCACCTCCAGCATATGGGGCTGGCGCCCTACTCCTTGAGCCACAGGTGCCACCCTACATTTTTTCTTAATCCATTTGTAATGTCCTCTGTCTTACCTCAGCACAGGGCTTGGATTTTGGCAAAGCTGCAGCACTTCTTGATTCCTTATTTTTACAAGCAGGACTCTTGCTTCCTGACCTGACTGTTCTCTCCTTGTTGGAGGAAGGGAAAGAGCCCTGGACTGTGGAGACTGAAGTGAAAGCACCAACAAATTCAAACTGGGAGGAATGGATCAGAGGTGTGCACTCAGGTAAGAGCTCAGGTAGGCACAGTGGAAGCTGCACTCTTAAACAGTGTGTGGGAAAGGCTGCCAGTTAGGGGTTCTGTGGATGAGCAAAAGGTTAAATCCTGTGAGCTCTACGGAGAAATCTTTGTCTTTGTCTCTACTGATCACTCTATTCTTGGATGTGGAACACTGGATTATTTGACCCTGCAGTCATGCTACAGCTCAAACAGAGATCAAGGCAAAATATTTGATTGCATGATGACACCTCTATGAACACTTTGGTCCCCTGTCTGTGTAGGACACAGAGAAGGCCATGTACAAGGATCTCTTTCTCATGTGGTGTGTCCTGTTTTGATTCCATCTGGTGCTCAGTTCTCTGTCCATAGCTGTCAGCGCTGAGGCTACCATAGACCTGCTCCATTGACCTCTTTGGGTGTCAACCCATTTTCTGTACTGGGAGACCTAATTAGGATGAGGGAAAACAATGGCTGTTCTTTCTTTGCATCTGGACCAGGGTACAACACAGCTGTCTTCAGCCCTCTCTGCCTTTTCAGGTCAGTTGGAAATAAGAGCAAGCCAAAGTGTTCATCATCTTCTCACCTACCACTCAACACAGAATGTCTCTCTTCTGGTCACAAAGTGTGTTGGGTTTCTTCCCACAAATACCCAATGTTTTCTTCATTTGTGACCCTGTCTACTTGGAGTTAGGGTCAGATCCCAGAGACTGATGGCTGAGTCCCCAAGTATCCCCTTTGTCATACTCCACTCACAAGTAGTATGTTGTCACCTCTCCTTGTGACCAGCCAGTGGTTAACTTGGAAGTTCCTTGAAGCTCTGCTCAAGTGTGATTATTTCTGAGGTTGGCTCATCACTCTCAGTGACACACTTTGTGTGTCTGTTTTATTATGAGGGACATTTGAGAGGACACAGATGAATAACCAAATGAAGAGGCTCACAGGACAAGGCTCGTTGAAGCTTCACTGGATGCTCCACCCTCCATGCACATCCATGTGTTCAGCACTTGGAATTTCTCCTAACCCCACAGTCTACCTCTTTTTATGGAAGAGTCATCATTGATGATGTTAACTCACTTCCAGTCCTCTCTCATTCCTTGAGCATGTTGGTTGGGGCTGAAAATTTCAGGCTTATAGTCATAGCTTGCTCTTGTTGGTGACTAGCCGTTATGCAGGACACCACAGAAGTGGACACATTAGCACATGTCACATTCCTGTCCCCTGGACATTTCAAACTGTTAGGCATGTATGTGAGGAACAGGGGAGGAGATCAATGTATGTATTTCTAATTATTTCACAAGATACCCGATGTGCTCTTCACTTATGCTTTATCCAAAGTTTACTGCTGTGTATACGAGGCTCCTCTGAGATTTTTCCTCAGTGTAAAGAAAAGTGAGGGGACTGAAGCATCCTGTGTTGGATCCCCAGGTCCATGTGGTGAGCATAGCTCACTAGAATGGGGGTGTAGTTCCTAGTGTCATTTATTTCAGGCACTGCTACTCTCATCTTGTCTGTTTTCACATATTATACATGATCCTGGATTTCATGTATTTCATCATCTATTTTACTATTGTGTATGTTTCTTTGCCTTTATTCCTTTTGTGGATTGTACTATCTGGAATATGTTGAGATGCTGTACCACTGTGTGTCTACTGATTTATATATTTTAGAAGATGTCTTTGTTTATTACGCAAGTTGTAGCCAGCAGGAATTTTCTTAAAATCTCTGCAAAGTGGCTGGCACCCATAGCTCAGTGGGTAGTATGATGGCCACATAGATCAAGGCCCAGCTAAAACAACAATGGCAACTGCAAACAAACAAACAAAAAAGCTGGGCATTGTGGCAGGTGCCTGTAGTCCCAGCTACTCAGGAGGCTCAGACAAAAGATCCCTTAAGCCCAAGAGTTTGAGGATGCTGTGAGCTGTAACGCCACAGCACTCTACGAGGGCAAAATAGTGAGACTCTGTCTGAAAACTACAACAAAGAAAACCCCTGTGCAAAGTGGAAATGGTTTTCTTTGTCTTTTTTACTTGAACCTCTGAGCTCAGGCATTCCACCCCCTCATCCTCCCAGACTGTTAGTATTACTACAGGAGTGAGCCACCAGGTCTGATCCCATGAAATAAAGTTTTGATGTCATATGTAGTAAGGGCCCACCTTCCTTTTTCTTGTGGCTATTTCATTTCCTTGGCACTATTTGTTGAACAGATTATCCTTTCTCCTTTACATGTTGCTATCACCCTGATTGACCACATTAGACAATACAGTTGAGGGTTTCTGACTGGTTCTCTGTGTCATTGCTTTCTACATCTGTCTCCATGACAGACATACACTGCTTAGATTAGGTGGCTATGTAATAAGTTTTGTAATTTATGTAAGTGAGACCTCCTGTTCCATTTCTTTTAAATTTCTTTTGCTATTGAGGTGACAATGTGGTTTCTTTTTAGTTAAAGGACACATTTATTTTGGTAGGAAGTTTCATTGGGAGTTTGCTAAGGATTTTACTAAATCTGTGGGTCACTTTGGTTGTTATTAACATTTAACTTGATGTTAATGTTGTTCCAAAGAATAAACATGGGAGTTTTTTTTCTAATTTCAGATTAATATGAAGGTATAAATGTTTTTGTTACATTGTTTCCATGTGTTAGGTAAACTGCAAATTGTAGTTGAGCCCCTCACCCACGAGGTATGCCATAAATCCCTACAGTGTCCCCAAAGGTTACAAGCTTATAAAATTCCCACCCTCCTCCCCACTTCTCTCCCACTTGAATTTGATTGTGTTTTTCTCTCCTGTGCACATTCAGGTCCTCATCTACTTGGTTTCATTGTAGTATTGAGTACATGAGATGCTTGCTTTTTCATTCTTGTGATTATTTACTTATACCAAGTGTTCTCCAACTCCATCCAGTTAAATGTAAAAGATGGAAAGTCTCCATCTTTCCTATGGCTGAATAGTATTCCATGGTCTACTTATACTATAGGTAATTTATCCATTCATAAGATGATGGGCACTTGGATTGTTTCCACATCTTGCTGATTATGAAATGAGCTGTGATAAATATTCTAGTGCACAAGTCCTCATGGTCAAATGATTTCTTTTCTTCTGGGTAGATGTCTAGTAATGGGATTGTGTGATGAAAGGGAAGATCCACTTTCAGCTCTTTGAGGATTCTCCATATGTCTTTTCCAAAAGGTTGTATGAGTTTCTAATCCTACCAACACTGTGTAAGTGTTCCCTTGCCTCCATACCCATACCAGCATCTGCAGCTTTGGGACTTTGTGATGTGGGCTATTCTCACTGAGGTTAGGTGGTACATCAAGGTGGTTTTGATTTGCATATCTCTGCTGATTAGGGGCAATGAACATTTTTTTATGTTTGTTGGCCACACATCTGTCTTCTTGAGAGAAGTTTTTGTTCATGTTGTATGTCCAATAATAAATGAGATTGTTTGCTGTTTTCTTGTTGATTATTTTGAGCTCTCTGTAGATTTTCATGTATTATTACTACTGTGTAAGTAGGTTTCCTTAAATGTCTTATTTTTCCTACAGAGCTCACCTGTGCAACTTTCAGCATATATTGTATTTCTCTACTCATAATCTCTCTTCAACTCACCCATAATCCTCTGAGCCTCTGTACATTTCCCACTGTTCCGGTGTATCATCTCACCTCCTTAAGCTCTTAGTATTGCCCAGGTGACATAAAACATATAGGGATGTTCCTTTCTTTTTATTTTATTTTGTTTATTTTTTAAGACAAAGTCTCGGCT